GGGGCGGGGCGGGGCCGCAGCGAGTGACGACAACAGCGTGACGCTCCTCTGGGCCCTAAGGCGTTGCACCGGCAATCTTGACGCGTCGCCCGACCACGCAACCACCAACGACTTCTTGCACCTCGGTGCCCAATTGACAGATTCTTGCAGTTGGGTGCCAACCGCTTCATTTCAGCCAGGCCCCCGCACCTTGTCCAGGGCCAGGAACTTCTTGAGCAGGTGGCTGGCCTCAGCCCCGCTGAGGGTCTTGGCCGCGACACCCAGCATCAGCCGCCGCGCCCTGCAAACCAGGCACGCGGGCGGGCGCGACGGGCGGCGCCACGGCGGGTGAGGCCCGGCAGCAGGGCGGGAGGGTGCCCAGGGGTGCGCCCCCGGCTGCTCCCACACACCAAATCGGAAGCCACCTCGCCGGCCCGCGGCGCCGCCTTCACCCCCGGCCCCTCAGATCCGCGGGCCAGCTGCAACCCACACGCCCCCCCCCCGGGGGTGGCCCCGCTCCCAGGCCGAGAAGGGGAAGGGGGGCGCGCCGCCGCACGCCGGCGCGGGCGGGCGGGGCGCAGACGGTCCGTTGCGTCTGGGAGGCTCCTTGCGCCGTGGCAACGCAGGCGAATACTGACGCGCGTCAACCCTGCCATACATATACACAATCAAACACACACACATATACACACAGAGCGTGGCCCCTCACCTGTTGAGTGATGCGAAGAGCTGCAGCTGGTGCAGGATGGCGGCGTCGATGGCGGTCTGAGGGGCCTCCGCCGCCAGCCAGGGGTGCTGCAGCACCTGGGGTGGTGGGGTGGTAGCAGCCAGAGGGTGTAATGGGTGTGTGGTGTGTATATGTGTGTGTGCGTGTGCGTGTGTGTGTGTGTGCGTGTGTGAGTGTGTAAGTGTGTGTGACAGAACGCGTTCAGGGGTGCATGTTGCTCGTGCGAGGTGCGGAGCGCGCGGGTTGCACGGCCGGTTGACCGACACCCTGTGCGCCTGAAGTGCAAACAGATGGGCTGTCTGTTGCCAGCTGCTGCAGGCGGTTGCGGCCCAATGGCTTACAGCGACGACTCAGCAAGCAGGGGCGTCGGCAACGCGTACAGGGCGCCCTGACGGCACAGGTCCTCGGGCTTGCGGCCCGCAGCACGCGACTCGTCGCGAGGCAGGGGCAGCTAGGGCGCCGGCGCTCGCCACGCCGTCCCCCACGCCCGCGCCCGCGCCCCTGGTTCTGGGCGCCAATTTTGAATTCAAATCCAGATTCGAAAAGGCGCACCTGGCTAGCGGTGGGGCGCTGCTTGGGGTCTGGGTGCAGCATCAGGCGGATGCAGTCCTTCGCCTCCTGAGCACACATACGAGGTTGGCGGGGGCGGGGCGCGGTGTGGGTGATGGCTGGGGCCGGGAGAGGCGTGGCGGCACGACGCCTGCGGTGAGCCTGCAGACGCGGCCTCCACAGGGGGCTGCGTGACCAAGCGCCCCCCTTGGGCCCTCAGCTGTGGGTGTTGGTGGTGGTGGGGGGGAGAGTTGCGTGCACGAGCGCCCCCCTGCCACCCTCCCACGTTCGCCCTTCCCCTCCCCCTGTCCTCCCTCCCTCCCTGCTCACCTCACCCTTGCCCTCAAGCCCCGAGTCGCGGCCGCCCCTGGCAGCAGCAACAAGTAAGACTGCCCAACCCTCACTACCATCCAACCGCACCACTCCCAAATACCAACGCAATCCGCTCATGCCCGACTTGCGAGATGGACCCTGACCCCTCAACTTCCTCCCTGGATCTCCTGAACCTCCCCCAAAACCCTGCCACCCACCGCGCTGATGTTCTTCCAGCGCGACCCGGCAAACTTGACCTCGGGGCCGCGCTGCAGCAGGGACAGGGTGGCCTCGTCGGTGTCCTTCAGGAACGGCACCCGGCCGGCGAGGATCTGGGGGGGAGACGGATCGGGGGGTCAGGAGTTTTGTTTTGGGGGTTGGAGGTGAATTGTGGAGGGGGTGGGGTTGGGACAGGGGGATGTCGAACGCGGCTTCGGGAGAGTTTAGAAAGGGATTCGAAAGGGCATGTGAGAGGGGTTTCGTATGGAGGCTTGAAAAATGATAGCGGAGGTGAAATGTGGGGATGATCTCAACCATATTGGTATGAAATGGGGACCGTGTTGATTGGAGGGGAAGGGGGGGATGAGGGGGAGGGGAGCCAGGGTGCTCAGCAACAGAGGCTGTGCCGCACCCAGCCGCTCAGACGCGGCGAGCGCACCCCTCGAACGCGGACGCGTCGCCCCGCGCAGACCGTCTTGACCCTCAAGAACCAATTTTCCACTCTCTGGCTCAAAGCCCCTCGCCTCGTCGTGGCTTCAAACGGCTGCACGGTCTCCCATAAGCCAAAAAATGTGGGCAAGGGGGAGGGCGGAGTAGCCGAAACCACACCCCCGACCGGCGCCGAGGCCACACCCCCGGCCGGCGCCCAGGCGACACCCGCGGCCGGCGCCGAGGCCAGTCTCCCCGGCTCCGGGGCCAACCGCGCCCCCCCCCCTCCAGTGGCGCCCGCACCTGGTAGATGACGACCCCCGCGCTCCAGACGTCGCTCCTCTGGCCGCACACGTCCCGCGCCATCTCGGGGCTGCTGTACCGCACAGTGCCAAACGCGCGCGCCACCTGGGACCACCCCGGGGGGGGGGACGAGGGGTGGGGGACGCCGCCTGCTCAGCCAAGTTGGATCAGGGACTGAGGGCGGCCCGCGTGCGTGGCGCTTTCGCCCTTGCCTGATGTCAACAACAAAATTCAAACAAAGCTGTGATTTGCAGCTGTATCCCTATAGTCGTGTATTTCGGCCCGACCCTGCCGCCCTTCAGACCCACTGACGCCTCCTAAGCCAAAGCGTCCTGCTCCCCATCACTCCCGCGCGGCTCAACCGCCCAGGCTTCAAAACGGCCAGATTCCCCAAGGGCTCCCGAACGGATCCCCGGGAAGCCCCCCAGATCGTCGCCAGATCACCCCAGATCGCCCACCAGCTGATCTGGCTGCAGGAACTCGGCGCTGCCCAGGTCTATGACCTTCAGGACGCCCTCGGGGCCGCCAGAGTCAAACATGATGTTCTCGGGCCTGAGGGGCGGGGGCGATGG